CTTCAGCGCATACTTCGATGTGAAGTGAGCCTTTAGAATTCTCTATGAGTTTATTAGTCATCTCTTCTAGTAACCCTGAACGTGATTGGTTGTTTTTGTGTGACTTCTCACAAGGAATGACTAACGACATTCAGACCAAAGAAGCAGCCAGCACCGAGACAAGCAAACTAGGGGGTGAAATGTCACACGAAAACAACCAATCACGTTCAGGGTTACTAGAAGAGATGACTAATAAACTCATAGAGAATTCTAAAAGCTCACTTCACATCGAAGTATGCGCTGAAGATGTTGCTCAGTAGAGCAATGAAAGCTTCGCAACCAAACCATCCAGCTCAGAGAACACAACCACACCAAAATCATCCACCTGAGCTACAAATCTTCTCTATTATATGGATGATATTGGCTGGTGGTCGCGTTATATCGTGAATCGGCAGAAGTTGGAATTCATGAGCTGGCTACTGGATCGGCTTCCAGGGGCTTAATGGTTTACCAACCTACCTTGCGACCGAAAGGTCCTAGGTTCGAACCCTGGAGGTAGGTGCGTACTTCTGAAGAGTCACAAACTAGATGGACGTGACAGCTGTCCAGTACTCCCAGGTTTTCCAGTGGTTCTCTAACAGTTATCAGCTCTTGATGAAATAATGTAACCGATTTAAAATATATGGTTAGTCGAACACTTGGTTCAAGGGACCAACTGATGCTTCATTGCATACACTGAGGATAAAATCAGTGAAGTTGTCAAAATCAGGATGAATAATAGCCTTCTTTACTTTCAGAAATATTCGTCTAATTGTAGGCTGAAAACTTTCAGATCCTAGTCCACAATGGTAATCAACGAAACCTACGAAAGGAAGTGTAGCATGTGCTATATAAAAGTGTATTGAAATGAAGCGGTCAGAAATTGAAATCAATATTTTTTAAATTAATGGCTACAGAGGTAAAAGTATTTATTCCTCAAATATGAATTTAGTTGACGTTCTGGCTGGGAAATAATCGCATTGGACAACTTTTCATGCAGTTGTCTAAACTTAGACGAATGTAAAACCAATCAGGACAGTTTACTCTCCATTGACCTAGCTGACTTTTAATGTGGTTAAGAAGTATATATGTATGATGAATGTTTCCCTAATAAAAAAGTTCATTACCGTGTCTCCTACCCTCTGCTGTTATCGAAGTACATTGGAAAATCCCTTGCGAACAGTCTAATTGCAAAGTTTATACTTATTCTGAGGTTTCAAATAACTTTGCAATTATTATGCATTTTTCTCCTAGACTGCTTGTCATTGTTCTGATATTTGCAGATCACATATCCTTATTATTTGTCATTTTCACTACTTAATCTCTGATGCCTGTCTTTATGGTTGGACGATACATTCATGATGTGCTGCACGATGCGATTCTGTTTCGTTGAATGAAGGTGATTCTAACCTTGAACCGTCTGCAGGAATTGTCGGCGTTTGATTCTTATGCACAGAGTGTTGATTCCACCTTGTTGGGAATATTCTGCTTGGCTCAAAGCACTTGTTCCCCACTTAGACTGAACCGTACAGCTGCCTGACGGCAATTTTGAGGTTTTGATATTGGAACTGTTAAATGGAACCACATAAATAAATCTAACCACGAATAACAGTAATTGTTCTGTCTTTAGAGCGTCTTCTGACTGTGTGTCTCTCGAGGATATCTTGTCATTTATGCAGTAGGAGTTAGAGATTGGTTTCTCGTGTTCAGACCACACGGAGTCACTTTCGGTCGTCACATATCGCAGTCAATAAAAACACTTTAGATTTATAATACTTCATATATCTACATTTTCTCTTAAAATTAAAACATGAAAGATGGCCAATAATCCATGAACTTTATATTGAAGAGAATCAAACACGCGTCAGATATCTTTAATTTCTAGTGATTTAGGGTAAAACTGTGCAGCTTGTAGGTCGGGGTCATTTAAATTGCACTCTTCTAAACTGTTATTTCATTAGAGTCTCAAAACACTCTCACTTAGTAGATGAATAATTTGGTATTTCATTTCTAGCTTTCTTATTAAGACTGCAAAAATAAACTGTCATATCAGAAGACACATCGGAAAATTTCATGTCGAAAGCCACAGTAGACTGCATAAACTTTCGGTTACCGTATAAGCCTTTTGGGCACTGAAATGTTTTGAAACATACATCACGTTTTCAGATTTATTTCTATATTTCTTGTATTGTAAATATGAATTTCTCAAGGTAAAATAAAACAGTAGTCTTCGTTAGATCTACATATATGGGTGAATAGTGAATGTTCCAATGGGCTTGACGCTGTAATATGAGCTGCTTTGTGGCAAAAATAGTTAGGTGGTTATTTAAAAGGTACCAGAGTATTTGTACACCTCATCATATAGATAATGAAAATCGAATATTCACCGATACACTTCTCGAAAACGGATATACTTTAACATTTTCAAACCCTTGTGGGAGTCAGTTGGTTCCAAAGCCTACTGTCTATTTCATCCCAAAGGAAGATGTTTTCATCAAATCGCCTCACAGTGGAGAAACAAACAGTAGTGATAGTAGTAAGACACAGAAAAACATGGTCGACTGTAATATAGTGAGTGTTACTTATAATCAGATATAAGTAGTACATCTTTTTTTATTCATGTACTTTCCCAGTGGAACATAGGGCTTCAAGCTAGAGGCTGGTAGTTTCAGTAGCAGTGGTATTTACTTTCACGGGATGTCTCTGCTAGCCTCATGACCAACCTTCCCTCTCTGCCAGTCTTATTACTGGCTTAACGAGGTTAGGGAGTACGTCGGCTGCCGAGGATCAAACCCCAGACCACATGAGGCGAGGTTGGCGAGCATTCTACCTCTGTGCCACTAAGGCACAGTAAACGAATTTAGAAAAGCAACAGTATGTTTCGGACACTGGAAAAAGCAATTGAAGAACAGATCTGTGAGAATATCGTTGCAAACCGTGTGCAGAATCCAACATGCTATGGAATACAGTGATATTCGACCAATTGGAGAATGATGTGCAAATAGATCATTGAAGATATGGAGTTTATGTATCTGCAATGAGTTTGTCCCAATAAACATTCTTTCAAGTCTCATCGGTCTTCTCTTCCTTGCGGTAAGTTGTGGTATACAACTCAGCTTATAGTTATGGGAAAACCACAGAATATGCTGCACTACAAGCTTCAACATCTCACGAGTGACCACGTTACGTCCCATACTGTATACTAATTCTCATATGTGTTCGTGGTCACACATACACAAAGAGAAGCAATCGCGCCTTCCATGTGAGGGTGGGAGAGCATGTGTGCGAATGGCAACAAGAGTAAATGAACTATGAAACCTCGATAAACGCAGCTTACAGACTACCAAATCCATGTATAGCTAGACACTTGATCCATATGAATAACAGGACAGGTGTCAAAACACCTTCTGTGGTCATTTATACAAACAGTCAAGGACGCTCACTGAAATACGCTCAGGTGAAAGCTATTCGTAAACTCAAGCCACACCCATGTCCGTACAAAACAACTTATTACTACACTTATCCCAAATGCATTATCCTCATATGATTAGATAACCAAACAGAGTGTTAATTATTATTGTCCACCTTATTCTTGAATTCCTTATAATTTCGTTGATTTTCGTTTGACGAGTGAATGTGTAATCACATTGTAAGACATGTTTTGCGGAATTACATCATAGTCTTCCGATAACATCCGTCTTCTAATAACGGTAGGTATCAAAGTACCATCTGTGGTCTTCTAATAACGCCATTCATTAAATGTACTTTAATTATAGTTTTACGTCCATAGGCAATTATCTGCACTAAAGAATATTCGGTAATTACCTTTAAGATTAATGGCATCAGTAATCATCGGTATCTCTTACTGATTTTAAAAGTGTACGATATAGTTATGCCATAATCTAATGGCGTGTCGGTGGTACAGCTGTCAGGACGCTCGCCGATCATGCACATAGTCCGAAGTTCGACCACCGGCCGACGCACTCCTTTACCGCGCTAAGCCAGAAATAAAGTTGGTGAAGAGGCAAGGTTGGGCATGAGGCTAGCAACCCCATCCTGTAAAAATTAACACTGCTACAGAAACTTCAAGCCTCTAGCTTGAAGGCTCACGTTCCACTGGGAACGTGAAGGAATAAAAAAATAATGTAATTAATAGCTGTTTTATCCTGACTGAGTGCTTGAAATCTTGCAGTGCGCACGCTGAAGTGGTTTATTTATCCCTATGGCGTTCACTATATAGCATAATGTATTCAAAGCTACAACCTGATGTGGCTAAAACCATCGTATTCTTAATAATGCAGAGCATACATGCTGTTTCCATAGTCTCATTTGTATTCATTCCCTAGAATAGTCTAGAATAAATCTCTGAAGAAACAACCACATTGGCCAGGCAAGCTTACCTTGTGTGGACTACACATAATATGTGATTTTTTGTGTGTTTTTACTCGATATAACCTCCATATTGTTGGTATTAGATGGTTGGAGGCAATCGGCCAGAGAAAGCCTTGGACCTGGGTTTCGTGCTAGTTGGCACTCATCAGCAAGGCGTATCTGCAGTCACCTTGAAGGAACTCATGTCTCTTCTGAGATTCGAACCCGTGTCACCCACTGCTACGGTCAGAGACGTTACCACTGAGCTATTCAGGCTCGCGATTGACCTTCTGCAGGACTGTAGTGCAAGCTACGTAGAATGGTGGCCACATTGCAAACCTGACTGATAGAATTCAGTCTGCACCAAACAAAGGACTAGATACATCACACTAGTTACTGACTAGTGTGCAATCAAAAAAACCCCCATATATATTTTACCGCCAGTAGTATCTTACTTTGGTCTTTCTGAACTTCAATGTGATTTAGTGAATTAAATTTTTAATCATTTTCATTGTGGATATTTATTGTTTACTTGACGTTTAGGTTTACCTGAGAAGGTTTCATAACTCATAGAAACAACACCTCGTGGTCTTCCAAAAAAAATCTTTGGAGAAATTTGTTTATGCTTACTGGATTTTTGACATCATCTGACCCACCACTTGACTGTGTTAATTCTGAAATAAAAATGACAAAATTCTGAAGTGGACATTTTAGTGTCATTACTGAATAGAATTGCATAAATCAAGTGTACACAACCATTACAGAACACTGGATTGCGTGTTAAGCTGATTACAGGAAATTCTATTTTGTTTCACATATATAAAAGGCGGAGACAAATTAGTTTTTTTTTTGAGATATTGACGGCATATTTCAACAGTGTAAGTATTTTGAAAAAAATTAATCAAATTTTAAATGTTTAAAGCACTCTACTGTAGATTATTAATTAATGTGTAGGCACAGTACGGGGTGAGAGAGAGAGGCATTATTATTATTATTGTTCCCTTCGGTTCCTAGTGGAACATACGGCTTCAACTACACGCCTCCACTTGCTTCTGTCTTCTGCTGTACTTTTCACTTGTATCCATGTTAGTCCATACTGTTTCAGCTCTTCTTCACACGATCTCCTCCATGTCACCAACAATTGGACGTCCCACTCGCCGCTTCCCTTTCGGGTTCCACTCGAGCTATGGCCTGACGCGCGATGTCACCTTGTGGCCTCCTCAGCGAGTGTCCAATCCATCTCCACTTTCTTCTGCATATTTGTTGGGAGATTGGTTCTTGTTTTGTTTGTTCCCATAGTTTCTTGTTGGTGATTCTTTCCGGCCATCTGATCTTCAGTATAGAACGAAGACAGTTGTTGATAAAGGTCTGCAACAGGCTGTTGGAAATAAATATTCTTTGTGACCCGCCAAGTTTCTGATCCGCATAGATGAACTGACTGACTTGACGTTTGTATTGAAAATCCGAATCACTTTGTTGTTGATGCAGGCTGAGTGACGAAGATTTCCAGATTGGTTTCAGGTTGATGAATGTGTTTCTCGCCTTCCCGATTCTCAATTTGACATCCTCGTCCGTTCCTACTGTAGTTGAGACAATGCTCCCTAGATAAGTGAATGAGGCATTGCTGAAATAATATTTCAAGCTGCAAGTGTCAATGATTCGATATTACTTACTGTACAACAGATATTGTCAGAGATGTATGATAAAGGGAATAAATGAAGTAATATGGTGTTTCATATCACCACAATGTTACATACCTGTCAATGTTCTTAGTGTCTGTACATATACTTCCAGTTTCCTCATAAGAATTGTGAAAATTTACTTTCATGCTTCATTCACAAAGTGTTTTGTCTAAAAAATATGATGATAAGTTGTGCACGGTGTCCGGAAGACTGACATGAGCTTATGCTCTTCAACATAGCTGATGCTTTTCCTTCAAACTGTCCCGAAGTTGGTGAATTAGGCCTTTTAATTGAACACTGTGTAAGTATGACTCAATATTTTTAGACTGTACAATTACTTTACCACTAAGTTGTCCGTGCATATGCACCGCATGAATACTTGATGCAAATCTGGCTTCAAAAAATCCTAATCCTAAGAGTTTGTGTATTCATCGAAATGACTTTGAAAACAGTTTTTTTTCCTTCACGTTCCCAGTGGAACGTAGGGTTTCAAGCTAGTGACTTGAACTTTCTGTAGCAGTGTTTATTTTACAGGATGGGGTTGCTAGCCTCAAGCCCAACCTTTCCTCTTTACCAGCATTATTTCTGGCTTAGCGAGGTTGGGGAGTGCGTCGGTGGCCGGTGATCGAACCCCGGACCATGTGCATGGTCGGCAAGCGTCCTAACCACTGTGCCACCAACGCACATTTGAAAACAGTTTACAAGTGTATTAAACTACTGTGAATTTCATCGATACAACTTTGAAAAGTAATACATGTGTATACATCTGGAAAATTCTTTCTTTCCATAGGAATCTTTGACGTCTTAACCGAGAAGAATTAATTGGCAAAAAAATGCCCTGCAAAGAGACGTACATGAACCTGTTCAAACAGCTAGATAAAAATGGAGACAATGTAGTTTCCTCTGAAGAATTAAAATCAGGACTGAAAGAACTAGGAATGGATGAGGATTGCATCAAAGTAAGTCTTAAAAGCGTAATTTTGTCATATTTATAATATTTGTAAAAATTTGGTATTGTGATAGCATATTATGACATATTTATTTATTTATTAGATATATATTATATAGGGAACTAGTATTATTTACTGGATGACATCTTGTACGCAATTTATTGTTCATAATCCTATCTTCAGTTGTAAACACACAACTTTGAAACTTTTTTTCTGATAGATCTCTCTCCTCTTTCCTCTTCGTCGTTTGGAGGTAGTAGAATCCCGCAGATGTCCACAAAAGCTGTTAAGTTATCTGAGGACACGCGCAATAGGTATGTGTTTAACACTTGTCCTGGACATTTGGGGAGTTCTACTGTAATGGTGGTGTGATACAGACGTTGGGTTCCAACGTAATATTATTCTCACAGTAACAATCATTGTATTTGTCGGTGTTAACGTTTAAATACTGTGTTCCCACAGTTCAGTACTGCATTAGCAATAGAATACTGTATGTATTTGAATATTCTATTTCATGTCGTTTGGTGTAAACCGAAATCACATGCTCAGTGGTTGGTTAACGAACATAAACTTTATATATTAAATAGCGGTTTGATGAATTAAAATATATCCGTGTCTTGCCTTCTGCTGTTACACTTCTATCCTGTAAGAAGAATCAAGAGAAGGAAAGAGATCCATTGAAATCGAGTTTCAAAGTAGTACATTTACAACTGATGATATGAAGCGTTATCCAGTAAATGATATCGTTCCGCAGTGATATTATTGCAGTAAATGAATTAATATGGAACTACTCCTCTCATAGTACTGTAACAGTAGAAGGTAAGACACAGAAGCCAAGGTATATTTTTCATTGATCAAACTGCTGTTTATATGTGTACAGTTTATGTTCTTTAACCAGGCACTGAGCGTTGGATTTTGCCTTACATTAAACGAAATGAAATAGAATGTTCAAATGCATATATAGTGTTCTGTTGCTAAAGCAGCATTGAACTGTGAGAACAATATTCCGTTGGAACCCATTGTCTGTTTCCCTTTTTTTTCCTTCACGTTCCCCACTGGAACATAGGGCTCCAAGCTAGAGGCTTGAAGTTTCTGTAGCAGTGTTTATTTTACAGGATGGGGTTACTAGCCTCAAGCCCAACCTTTCCTCTTTACCAGCATTATTTCTGGCTTAGCGAGGGGAAGCAGTGAGTCAGCCAGGGTTCAAATCCCGGAGCATGTACATGGTCGGCGAGCGTCCTAACCGCTATACCACCGACGCTTCTGTTTCACTTAGAAAATGAAATAAAAAACTGACGCAGTCATTTACAGGTTTAGTCAAATTTGTCGATTCCTTATTTACCAAGGATGTCATCCGAGGAAAACAAATCATAGTACTAAACGCAGCACCTGAACACTGGGTTGAATTGGAAATGTGTTTCAGTTTTGCAAGGTTTTCCCTTTCGAACCATCCCATACAATTCATGTTACTTTATCTTCTATGTCTGGTGTAACTACCATGGTAGACGGAGCTGCTGGCTGATCCTCTCCAATACTTTTCACTAACTTAAGGTTGACAACAATGAATTCAGCTGAACTTGTATGCTCCTATAACTTATTCAGCTGGATGCAACAGGTTTAAACCTAGAAATTGTCGTACAGTTATTATATTAAAAAAACTAAATTACTGCATATGTGCAATGGAGTTTAGACATCTGTCAATGAGGTCAAATGTGTGCACATGCTTAAAACGGTGAGTCGCATTATTATTTTAGTTAATCAAGGTTGCAATCTGAATGCGATCGGTTAGCCAGAGTCAAAGAAAACTTCTTAATATCACTGAATTTCAAATTAATTTCTAAAAATTAGTTAATCGTTCAATCAGAATGATTACCTGAGTGGTATCTTTTCCGAGAATGAATAAATTAGTTCAACTTGGTATTATTCTGCTTGTGCATCATAGTTTACTAAGTAAATGTTCTCAATATCGGATAGATTTCCTAAAATAGTTGTGGTGTTGAAGCAATACACTGAAAGTCAGGCATATAATACCTAATTTCACAATTTATCTAAGCTTTTACTGGAGCGAATATTACTATAAACCGGAAATCCATATTAGTTTGTTTATTAGATGTATCACACAGTGAAATGGTATTATTTAATGGATGACGCTTCGAAAACAGTTTATTACTGTTCATAATCATATCAGTTATGATCACACAACTTCGAAACTTGAGTTTTATAGATTTATTTGTTCTCTCCTATTTGTTGTGGTTGAGGTAATAGAATTCTCCAGATACCTGGGACAGGTGTTGAATCCTTCCATCATTAAAGTGAAGACGAGAGGAAGACAATGCTAACTAATATCACCAATGATAAAACTAATTTTGGTGGATTCGATTGTGCAGTGAATGACAAGAACCAAGAAGATAGGACAAGTTTGGACTAACAACAAGACTCCAGAAGATGTGAACTTTGAAGATAACTTGTGTCTAATGTCACATTAACTCGACGATCTACAAGCGTGAACCGACAAGTTGGCAGAAGAAGCAGGACAGACAGGACTACAAATAAATATTGTAGAAGACATCCACAACAATCACCAATCACAATCAATGGAAGAGATTTAGAAGAATTCAGCTCCTTCACTTGTCTAGGTGGCGGCATGGATATCAAAGCAAGCGAGGACTAGAAAGGCGAGGAAGACCACCACTCTAAAATCACTTTCAATACCTGCTTCACTAAGTATAGAGAGAAAAATCAGAATATCGCAGTCACTCCGTATGCGTCAAGGGAAGCATTACTAACGGAATGAGGATTTTCCCAACACCTTCCTTTGCCCACACAATACTGAAAGATTTAACAAGAAGAAACTCTGGAAACAAACTAACCAAGAAACTGTTGCACAAGAAAAATCCCGAAGAAAACGAGGATGCATCTGACAAACACTGAGGAGACCACTAGGTGACACTGCACTCCAGAAAAGCTGTCGACTGCAACCAGAATGGAGTTGCATGGAGGAAATCCTGTGAAGAGGAGATGAGTGCCCATAGGCAATCGTTTAGCCAGCTAAATAGGAATGCAGAAAAACAGGACAAAATGAAGATTTACTTTTGTAATTGTAACTTGTACTTGAAACTCAAGGAAATATGAGTATTGTTGCAAAGCGACAGCGTTCTATCATAAACATCTACAACGGAATCTGTAGAAACACTAATCAAGTGAATGAGAACTTGAATCTGACAGGTGAACTTTATCTAACTCCAGTAGATTCTTAGCCTTCTGATCATCAGAAGAAAAGGAGATGTACTTCTTAAATCACATCACTCACAGTTTCATCCAACCCAGCAGCTAATCTGTATTTCACTTAATTTATTACTATTACCATTTAAATGCAAAGCATTGTTTCGATTACAATCTCATTAGTTGTTAACATGGAATTTATTTTTCTAAATGTCATGTAGTGAAGAGCACATGATTTCACAAGGAATTCGCTAAACTAAATATATACATTATATGAAAGGAGCGTTTGTGGAATTTTAGTTGTCACTCCGTTCTGAGTAATATACAGTGTTTTGTCTAACATTACATCGATAAAAAATTTCAAAAATTTGACTGAAAATCCAGTGTGAGCATTCTAAATACTTTGCTTTAGTGAAACAGACTTCAGACACCACTGACGTATTCATTCATAGGCTTATGAAATGAACGAAATTTACTTTGCCTCCAATTGAAATGACGAAATCGCAACGGATTTAAGCTGCCAATGTACAACGCAATTTCATAATGTCACCGACTTAGTAGACACTAGCGTCTGATGCGTAAGTACAGGCATAAGTACAAATACTCACAGATGTAATCAATCAAAACTTGGTTGAAAACTGAACCCTCAAAAACATCCTGCTAAAATGAAATTCTAGCAGAAAGGTTTTTTTTTATTTCTCCTGCATTCATGTTGGGATTTCTTATCGTATTCAGGTCAACTAATCTATACACCCACACATTCAAATATATATTTGGATTTCCGATCATCCCTTCCTATGTCAGTAAAAATAGGATTGGTGAAATGTTTAAGTGACAGAGCACAAAACTAAGTAGTACCAAGGAAAATCTAAGACAGGAAGTTAGGCGTGTAACAGGAGCTTTGAAACTTAATAATTACCCTGATTAATTAGTCAGAAAGTATGTAGGGAAATGTAAAAATAAAATAAATAATGATAGTAGTGATAGTCATCATAATAATATTAATGACGATATGCATGTAGAATACGCGCTAGACAACACCAACAATGAGGAATCTTAATCATCTGTAGTGATTCCATACAAGGAAGGAACTTCGGAAACCTTACGTGGAATTCTTACCAAGGCAGGAATAAAAGTGGCTAGCATTCAATTACCCACAAACTCATTTAGAAACAAGTTTTGTCGGTTGAAGGACCCTGTGGAGACTTTAAAACAAAACAATTTAGTTTATCTAATACCCTGCTGGAATGATTTTCAGGTCAAATACCTAGGTCAGAGTAGTAGAACAGGTGCAGTCAGACTGGCCGAGCATAAAAACCCAGCTAAATCTAGACTGTTTGACATGATTAAGATAGGAAATCTAGAGAATAGTACAGCCATACCACTCACTGCATGCAATCACACACAACCATACGTAGGATGGGATAGGATGACAGTTTTAAAATCTAATGTCACAGGGTGGAGGGAGAGATTGATAACAGAAGCTTTGTTTATCGAATCAACTGAGAGAGAATTCGTGTAATAGAAATGATACAACACCTGTCCCAGATATCTGGAAAATGCTACTACCCCAACGACAACTAATAGGGGAGAGCAAGGAAATCTATAAAACTCAAGTTTCGAAGTTGTGTCATTATAATTGATGAAATGATTATGAACAATAATAAATTGTGTTCGAAACGTCATCCAGTAAATAATATTGTTACACTGTGTGATACATCAAATAAACTATACTTACTACCACACACACACACACTATAAACTGTACTTATAGTAAGCGTGTGTCTGTTTAGAAATTTACAAGTGAATCCCAACATGAATGCAGGAGAAATAAAAAAACCCTTTCTGATAGAATTTTATTTTAGCAGGATGTTATTGAGGGTTCAGTTTTCAACCAAGTTTTGATTGATTACTTTTGTGAGTATTTGTACTTATGCCTGTACTTACGCATCAGACGCTAGTGTCTACTAAGTCGGTGACATTATGAAATTACGTTGTACATTGGCAGCTTAAATCCGTTACGATTTCGTCATTTCAATTGGAGGCAAAGTAAATTTCGTTCATTTCATAAGCCTATGAATGAATACGTCAGTGGTGTCTGAAGTCTGTTTCACTAAAGCAAAGTATTTAGAATGCTCACACTGGATTTTCAGTCAAATTTTTGAAATTTTTTATCGATGTAATGTTAGACAAAATACTGTATATTACTCAGAACGGAGTGACAACTAAAATTCCACAAACGCTCCTTTCATATAATGTATCTTGACTTTAGCGAATTCCTTGTGAAATCATGTGTTCTTCACTACATGACATTTAGAAAAATAAATTCCATGTTAACAACTAATGAGATTGTAATCGAAACAATGCTTTGCATTTAAATGGTAATAGTAATAAATTAAGTGAAATATAGATTAGCTGCTGGGTTGGATGAAACTGTGAGTGATGTGATTTAAGAAGTAAATCTCCTTTCCTTCTGATAATCAGAAGGCTAAGAATCTACTGTAGGTAGATAAAGTTTGCCTTTCAGATTCAAGTTCTCATTCACTTGATTAGTTTTTCTACAGATTCCTTTGTAGATATTTATGACAGAACGCTGTCGCTTTGCAACATTACTCATATTTCCTTGAGTTTCAAGTACAAGTTACAAGTACAAAAGTAAATCTTCATTTTGTCCTGTTTTCTGCATTCCTAGTTAGCTGGCTACACGATTGCCTATGGGCTCTCATCTCCTCTTCACAGGATTTCCTCCATGCAACTCCATTCTGGTTGCAGTCGACAGCTTTTCTGGGGTGCAGTGTCACCTAGTGGTCTCCTCAGTGTTTGTCAAATGCATCCTCATTTTCTTCGGGATTTTTCTTGGGCAACAGATTCTTGATTGTTTCGTTCCCAGATTTGCTTCTTGTTGATGCTTTTAGTATTTTTTGTGCATAGGAAGCTGTTTCTAAAAGCCAAAAGCTCGTTGAGAATGCTTTGTGTGAAACACATGGAATGACTGAAATAATTTTGCTCTTTAGAATCTGAGTTTTTTTCTTTATGCTTAGTACGGCAGATTGCGAAACTGATTGCAGAGTCTTGGTCTTCCTCGCCTTTCCGATCCTGTCTGCCTTTGATACCTATGGCTTCATCTCTAGTTGATTACTGATTCTGCCTAGACATGTTAAAGGGGTCAATTCCTGTAGATTTCTCCCGTTGATGGTCATTGGCGGTTTTTGCTTGTTGTTGATCTTCATCACCTCTGTCTTCTCCAATATTTACTTGTAGTCCTGTCTTTGCTGCTTCTTATCCTAATTTTTTGTTGTTGTTATTACTCATAAATCATCCTCAACTTCGAGATCTTCTGGAGTCTTTTTTGTTAGTCCAAAGTAGTTCATTCTTCTTGATTCCCGTCATTTGCTGCACAACCGAATCCACCACAATTAGCAATATCATTGGTGGTATTAGTCAGCCTTGTCTTTCTCTCGTTTTCACTTCACATGTTTCGTAATAAACAGAAAAATACCTTAGCATCTAGTTTCCTCCGTATTAATAGATTATTCACTTATGGTCAAAACGGAGTTTCTCGCATAGCATTTTTTAAAATTTCATCTCGTTCTCATTAATCCTACAAACGTTCTTTTTCTTACAGGATGTAATGCGAATACTTGACTCCGATAAAGATGGGAAAATCACATTAGCCGAATATAAAAAAGCTGTTGGATATTAAGCTAAGTGAATTTAGCTGTCTTCCAGGATATGTTAAAATTTCGAAAACAATTAGCTACTTTTTACACTGATTTTGTAGAAGTTTCCGTGTGGATAGTGTTTATGCGTTATCCATATGCTTTATTATTCAATTTATATTATTATTATTATGCAGCTCGAAATGTGTATTTCACAGGTATTCACTTAGTCATGTTTGTCAAATTCAAAATAAATTTTATTATATATTCTTATTACTAAGATTTGTCCTTACAACATATGAAAACGAAATGTAGGCTAAGAATGATGAATTTCGATATTGAATACTTCAAGCTCAACATCAGCATCACTTATCTCTTGAAATGACAGAGAAGATGTGTAGCTCAGGTAGATGACTGTGATTTGATTGTGTTCTTTCAGCTGGTCGATTTAATTGCGAAGCTTTCTTTATCCACCTTGTAGACAACATCTTCAGCGCAGACTTTAATATTAAGCTCGCTAGTGACTTGCTACAGGATGGAGTGAGAAGTCGTGACCAGTGAGGTTCAATCAGATGTCACGTGTGAGGATGGATGTCCCACCAACGACAATGGTTGGGGTCGCGCTAAATCACGAATTGGTAGAAGTTAGAATTCATGAGCCATTGAATTGGGTCCCAGTGGCTGAATGGTATACGAGCTCGCCTTGTAACCGGAAGGCACTGAGTTCGAATCCCAGTGGGTGCGTACTGCCGATGATTCCCAAAACTAGGAAGAAACAGCTGTCTAGTACTCCCTGTTGGTTTTCAATGGTTCTCTAAGTGATATCAATCGGTGATCAACTCTTAAAAGCTAGTTTGCATTTTCCGTGAATGGTATAACTGTATCTCCTAACAGCTATTGTTGTAAGTGGCTGTCACCAGAAAGGCCAGTGAATTTCTATAAGCCCGGTTGTTAGATAAATAGTCAATTAACAAAAAAATCAGTACAGATGAAACTTACCGGCTAGTGGGAAGTCGTGACCAGTAGGGTACAGCAGGTTGAAGGTGAGGACAGTTACTCATCGAAGAAGGCATTGCGAAGTGGTCGCGCTATGCCATGAACTTGAAGTAGCTAGAATTCATAGGTTGGCCATTGGATCGTGTCCCAGTGGCTTAATGGTCTACGAACTAGCTCGCCTTGTAACCCGAAGGCCCAGAGTTCGAACCCCAATGAGGTGGGCACACACTGCTGAGGAATCCCAAACTAGACGGATGTGACAGCTGTCCAGTACTCCTTGATCGGTTTTCCAATGATTCTCTAAGAGATGTAAGCTCATGATGATATCCTCCAACCAATCAAACAAACAAAATCCCTACAAAACCAATACTTAATAAAAATAAATCACATGACAAGAAAGTTCAAATTCCAAGTCAACAGAAATGATCCATGTAAACTGATAACCAATCACGACAGCGGTTGTCAGGAGATACAATTACATCTTTCATGAAGAATTTAAATAAGTCCATTTTATACTAAAACCTGCACGGAAGACGTTGTCTAGATGGATGACAAAAGCTTTGCGGTTAAATCAAATAGTCCAAAGAACACAACCAAATAAGAATTAAGTGCTATTGACAACAACAAGTAAAATGAAGTAGTACTCAGGATATAATTTCAAAGCAGTTATAATCCTCGTCATGTACTTTACATAGTTTTTATTGTGGAAGTGTATTATACACTTTTGCTAGTGTAAAAATGTTGAAAGCTTACGTTCAACAGTTTGCTAGCTTCAGCGACTATCATTGCAAACTAAGTGCAAAGATAAGCTTTGTTTGAGTAAGTAACAGTAAACTGTAACACACAGTAGCAACGGTCACAACTGAAGAACGAAGAACACGAAGAGATGTGTATATTTGACTAAGTAAAGCTTAAAGTGAGCGGGTACAAAGCTATTTGTCATCGCTTACAACAAGTCCAGTAGGTTCACGTCAGCGTTCCTTTCTGAAAGAAAAGGGGAATACGACTTATTTAGGGACATTCTATTGGTTTTTATCTCATTACAAAACAACGTGAGAAGAACAAATTAAGCAGAATTAAAATGATGCTATTATATTTTGCTGGTTCTGTTAAACTGAACACAACCACAAACAATTTTAACATCATTTAATTCAATTTTTGATTTTCCCGTCAATTGATTGAAACGAAGTGCTCGGTCTCAGGTTGACATGTCGGCTTCTTCCGCAGGTGCTTCAACGATGTCTGGGCATGTAATTAGAAGTTAATTGGTAGGTGGTGACTAGCAGTGGAATCCAGGATGTGCATTTCGTCCTATTTGGGACTCGTCATCTGGATGTACCTGCATTCCACCAGTTAACATCTAATTACATGCTCAGACATCGTCGAAGCATCTGCAAGTGGTGCCGAAATGTCTGTCTGAGACTAAGCACTTCGGTCTAGTCAGTCGACATGAAAATCGAAAATTGAATTCATTAAATAATATGACCCGTTACATAAGAGGTGACTCTCGTGGCCCAAGTGGTCTAATGGATAACGCTTTGGCGTTTGAAACTATGGCCGCTGGGTTAGAGCCTCGGTGTGGACCTCAACACCCACTACGGAAAGCAGCTACATCCAGTGACGAGTCTCAAATAGGACGAAATGTACATCCACTGCTGGTCACCACCCACCAATTAATTTTAACATCATTTATACGAACTGTGATCAAGATTCAACACCGAATAGTTAAGCAAATATTGGATAGCGAATGAAAAGTAAACATATGTAGAAGTTATATTTGTATAAATCTTAGTGAAATTAAAGTAAATAATTCTAATACGAACTTCTTTAGGGAAATAATCGAAATGTCGCAGTTATGCATAAAAATAAATTTCTTGTCTTTAAAATTCTTGTTCAAATATATCTGAGTCGTTAAAACTCATCAAAACCAACATGGAAACGAAAGAAAATGAATAGAATCATATGAGGTGTGATCAAATTTATGATTAGTTCTTTTCTATTTCATGCTTTAGACAGTGTTTGCACTTTCTCCATAAGTCTTCAATGAAAATGTTTGAAGAGAAGTTATGGTTTTGTACGGAAATGTGAGGCTTGAGCTTACAAATAACTATCACCTCAGCGTGTTTCAACGATGTCCTTGACTGTTTTTATAAATAACCACAGAAGGTGTTTTGACACCTGTCCTGTGTTTCATATCGATCAAGTATTTAGCTTTAGACAAAGTTGGTAGTCTTTAAACTGCGTTTATCGAGATTCGACAGTTCATCTGTTTTTCTAACCATATGAATATAGTTCACCCACATCAACATACAAAGTACGAGAACTTCTGCTTACGTATGTGTGACCACAAAACACATTTGTGAATTACTATACAGTACAGGACGTAACATGGTCACTCGTGAGATGTTGAAGCTTGTAGTGCAGCATATTCTGTGGTTTTATCATAACTATAAGCTGAGGTGTATAATACATCTTACCGTAAGGAAGAAAAGACCGATGAATCTCGAAGGAATGTTTGTTAGAACAAACTCATTGCATGTACATAAATTCGGTACATCTTATCTTCAATGTTTCATTTGCACATCATTCCCAAATTGGTTGAATATCACCATATTCGATAGCTTGTTGTATTCTGCACACTGTTTGTAACGTTCTCCTCACAGTTCTGTTCTTTGATTACTTTTTCCAGTGTCCGAAACATACTGTTGCTTTTCTAAATTCGTTTACTGTGCCTTAGTGGCACAGAGGTAGAATGTTCGCCAACCTCGTCTCATGTGGTCCGGGGTTCGATCCCCGGAAACCGATGCACCCCTTAACTTCGCTAAGCTAGTACTAAGACTGGTAAAGAGGAAAGGTTGGGCATGAGGCTAGCAACCCAATCCCACGAAAGTAAATAGCACTGCTACCGAAACTATGAGCCTCTAGCTTGAATCAGCCCTATGTTCCACTGGGAACGTACAGGAATAAAAAAGATGTACTACTTATATCTGATTATAAGTAGCACTCAATATATTACGATTGAGCGTGATTTTTCTGTGTCTTACTTCTACCACTACTGTTTGTTTCCCCACTGTTAGGTGATTTGATGAAAACATCTTCCTTTGGGATGAAATGGACTGTAGGCTCTGGAACCTGCTGACTCCCACACGGGTTTGAAAATGCTAAAGTATATCCATTTTCGACAGGTGTATCGTTGAATATTCGATTTTCATTATCTATATGATGAGGTGTACAAATACTCTGGTACCTCTTAAATAAGCACTTAGCTATTTCTTGCTACACATCAGCTAATGTTACGTCGTCATGTTTATTGAAACACTTGGTATTCCCCGTGTAATTAGGTCCTTTGAAGTCAGGTTTTGTTTATACGAAACGAAACCGTACTGTACAACCTTTCTTCTATGAAAATCGTTCTTGTATCCTGCTTCCCCCTAATGTAGTGCAATTGCTGTTTTGCTTCCTAGTCTTTTCGAAACCACGGAGGTGTTTGGAAGCACCATGTATCCTTTTACGCTTACATCCATCCACTTAAATGTTTCTTCTGCATATACAGCATCACAGACCGCATATTTTATTGAGTACATGAGGTTCTGCTAGTAGTTTGATAAAGCTTTACTAGTGCCAGACGCAAGCTTTTCATTGCACGGAAACACATCCTTATGTTATGACTGTTAAAGGTTCTCAGTATTTCTTTTGACATTTCTCTGCAATGAGGAACGGCCACAGTACTAATCTAAATCTTATTAGGAGATCCTCTTTACCTAAGTTTTTATTTGATTCAGTAGTGGATACAATCAATTTCAACTCTCTGATAGTATCTTCTTTCTCAGTGACTAGACGTTGGGGTCTGTTAATCAGAATCCTGGCATCAGTTACTTCGGTGTTATATGTGTATATCCGTGCACTGTACGAAAAATAATGCTAGCTTCATAGGAAATGAGATTGAACTACACAACATTATCTCACATCCGGGTATCATACACGAACTTGTTACATTTATAACGAAAGATCCTTTTTATTGATATGGTTGTGTTTTCTGCACCGGCTACTAAAATTGCAAGGCTTTAATAAAGTTTCTAGACAACATCTTTGCAATTAAACCACCCGCCTCAGAAAACACCTGAGCTGCAAATCTCGATTACCCGAGAACAGTTCTTCTTGGTAGATTCCGAATAGTCAGTAAGAGGCTCTACTATCCTGTACCTCATTTGTTCGCCTCATTCATTAAGAAAAATGAAATGATCAACTCAATGTTGAGTGGCGTGGCATCGAAAGTCGAAAA